CTCTTTTCGTTTTTGTTGAAATTCTCTATCCACGCTAAAGTCTTCATCTCCTCTATCTAATATAAAAATGATATATATAAATTAATGTTCATATATTAGTATATATATAATAGACAAAAAAAGTAGTAAAAAAAATAAGTAAATAATAATATACCTTTTTGAGAACAGCTAGTTCTTCCCCATGAAATTATTTTGGAGGACAAAAGCTCTAACCAATTTCTAAGCTGTCTAGCTGCCTTTTTAGGCAGTAATTTTACGTTCAGATACTTTTTATCGTCACATATCGCAATGTTATTCGTATCCAAATTTACACAGTTGACATCAGAAGGAGGATCATATAAATCAAAGAACCTTGAATCTACGCCGATCAGGAATGGTAATGGCGCATGCAACACCTGCAATTTAAATAATAGTTGTCTTTCCACTTTTTGTATATAGTATAAAAAATATAAGCTTAGTTACCTCTGCTAATCCTAGAGGACACAATGGTATGTAAGGACATTGCCATTTAAAAGGAAATAAAATCATGGCAATGGCTTCACTGACGGAAGTTAGTACATCTGGACGCAAAGAGTGAACCAATATTTTCTGTTCGGTCAATATTAATAACAGTATTAATAAACAATTGTCGGGTCCCAAGTTTATCAATAGTTGTCTAAAACTTGCGCCTGATCTAGGCAGAGCTAAATCCTCTGGTTGAGTCAAGATTAATCTATCCTGACTACTGAGTTGTACCAAGATTCGTGGACGTTGTGGACTCGGAAACGGTATGTCGCATAAAAAATATGAGATATATTTCTCAATCGGGACATTCTGTGGTTTATCGTTCACCATGCGGTGTAGGAAAACTAAAAATTTCTCGAACGTGTCAAAAAATGGCCAGTGAGACAATATACATATAGATTTACTAATATTCAGTGATTGGCTCGCGGGATCTGTGTACTGCAACCTTTCCAGTTCCAATATACTAAGCTTCTTGAGTATACCAAATCTTTTAAACATCTTCATTTTCACTTGCGGCTTATCTTTAGTTATCTCCATATTATCTGAAACGAAAAAAAGATATTATATAATGAAATAGAATACACGGAATATTTTTTTACTCGGTATTATATGTATATAGATTCGTGATTATCTACAGAAAAGTCAAAGATTATATCAAATTAAGATTATAAAATATATTTGTACCACTGTTTCTATTATTTTCAACTGTATCCATGATCTCCTGACTATTTTTACAATTTGAAGTATCGGGCTCCATTTGAAGCTCTTCGTAAAACGTTATTGCTGAACCATATATTTTTTGAGCAGCATCGGCAACCGTCAAGACGAACGTCGAGAATACTGGCTTAGGTTTACACGCTACTTTAGGCCAACATTCTATAGTCGCACCCATCGGTAGACAAAACATGGCGACAGAATTAGGAAAGACGAAACTGTTATAATCTACCATAGGATATTTGTAGAGTATCGCTGGTTTAAATGATACTAAATTAGCGCGATTCATAGATTTCTTATAGCACAAAAATACGTCGCTGCCCAGCATCCCTTTGTTCAAATTCTTATTAATAACACAGAAAGCGTGTGGCGGGCTCTCTCCTTTATTTGTTAAGATAACGCAAATATCCGTAACCACAAGCGAATTGCAAGGCATTTTCCGACTCGCTCGTCTATATGTTACAAAAATTTTTGACGTAGAATTATTCACATTCGCTATGTGGCCTTTAGGAGTCTCTAATACCATTTCAGCATCTTGCATTATACGTTCTTTTCCATCATATATTACACCTACAAAGTAAAATGACATTTAGATGACACAAATAATAATAATGACAAATTTGGTTACTCGTATATACATACACACATATATATATTGCATTAAATTAGTACATATTAAAAGTTAATATAAAACTTATACTTTGTAGAAAGTATTTAAATGCATAACAGAATCAACTTTGACAATGAAATAATACATGCAAATGTAATAATATGACAATATCATTACTGAATATATAATATTTATGTACTTTTACGTTTAATTTTAATTCCATATACATATATATAATGGTTTTCAGTATGCACTTATCAGTGTAATGCAAGACTGAATTCACTAGATATTAATTTGATGTTCCTCTCTCTTACCGATGTCAACCAAGGGAGGTTTATCCCGCCCTCTTCTATAGCATAAGTAACACTCATTTGTTCGTAAACTCCCATGATTCAAGTCCGCCGGAAAACCGGATACCGTATATTCTAAGAGTGTATATCCCTCTGGACAATGTTCCCCCAGTGCAGGGAATATTACGGCAAGATCCGTGATAGGAGGTGGCATGTGCATGTCTTTAAGATGAGTGCCTTCCTGACACCAAGCCTCCAACTTGTCGTTAGTTTCATTATCTTCGCTAAGCCCGTCATCCTGACCAGGTAGACCGGCAATAACAAAATAATCTGCTACCCTTCTGTCATCCATATTTTCTAAACAGAACAGATCACCAAAACATCCAAAAATTCTTTTGATTAAACTTTATTTTCCATATACCTCATAACGTAGGTATACGTGTCAATTTTATCTGGCTACTGAGGACGTTTCTGTACATGGCACTAAACTTATTGTTCTAAAATCTTTCTCACATAAGTAGCACTCGATAAGAGCATGCGATCTGTCGTTTCCTAGGACGTTACGAGACGTATTCTATATCTTATATATCAACAAGGACAGTTAACTCCAACACCTTAGATATGATACCATTATTCGAAACATTGTAGTAACTGGTTCTGCGCTCCCTCATAGGCTTTTACAATCTTATAAAAATATTTTGTCTACCCATCAATCAGGGGTCCACTGCAACAGTGAAGTATTTCTCGGCGCTAGCCTGTGTTATTGCTCGGATAAAGCTCGGTCGAGTCGTTAAGGCGCGCGTCGCACAATTTAGAGGACAATCTCCTGAATCTTCTGAAATCCACCGGAAAGCGACGGTTTATCGTTTGCGCCCACTTTACGGAGTAGATGTCCACGTTAATCGCGCGTCGCCCCACATCCTCACCTCGCTTTCTCGATTAATTTGTAAATAAACCGGACACGGCGACTCACTTGCCGACGTCGACGCCCGGCAGTTCCGTCGGTAGTCGTCGCGATCGCATATCCCTCCGTGCTCTCCGTGTTTTGTTGCTCTCCCTCTTCAGAACGGAGTCATAGGTTAGACGTCACCACACGCACACGCGAGAGACGGAGTTTACACAAGCGCGGCCGCGGACGACGTTGCCGCGCGTTGTCGTGCGCGACTGGCGCGGAGGTTGGCGGCGCCGCGGAGATACGGGTGGTCACCGTCGCGCGAGTTCCGCAGCGGTGACGCACCGACAAAATTTGCGTTGTTGCGTCCCCGTGACCGGAACGCACCTTCGCCAACCTTTGCAGGGATCGGCGGCGGCGGCGGCGGTGGCGGCGGCGCGCGGTAGTGTGTCAGATGGCCAAGGAGTCCCCACTGGCCCGACTGGCCGCTGGCAAAATGGCCGATGACCGTGGCGATGGCGCGGCTCCTTCGAAAGCGGTCCCGCGACGCGGAACCGAGATTGACGAGCGTGCTCCTCTCTTCGCGCGCGATCGCGACAGCGCGGTGCGTGACCTCCGGGACGACGAGTGTGTGGTAGGCGCCGCGTCTCGCATCCTCCGACTCGGATCAGCTCAGACAGCGCGCGTTATGCCTCCTTTTTTCGTAACTATGTCTCTCTCTCTCTCTCTCTCTCTCTTGTTTTTTCCCCTTTTGTTAGAAACGTCAAGTCCCCGGGGTCATTCGAATCTCTAGGAATAAACAGACGTAAACAAGAGCCGGGATTTCGAATACATGACGCTCAAGGATCAATTACGCTAATTATGCGTCGCGAGTTCGTCTAAACAGCCGCGTGGCAAGATTGCGACGACACTTGTGTGCGACTGTATCCTCGACGCGCCGACGATAAAGGATAGGAATTTGTATTATGATTAACAAATCAGCTGCAGGCAATTATCTTGCAGCGAGATAGAGTGTTTTCCGTTTCACGCATGATACGCATGACGTATCATTTTATTCTTTTTATTCACCGAATATTAAAGAAAGTTAAAATAATGCATCACGCGCATCATGCGTGAAGGAGGGATGCACCCTTTAATTTAAAAAGATGTAAGATTATAACAATTTCGACGTGTAATGTCACCTGTTATATTCTATTTAATTGCGTTTTACTTTGGGTATTATTAAATTGTATAATTTTTGATAAAAGTATTATTTAATATTTTGAAATAATTAATGCACACACATAATGTAAAAACGATAAAAAATAATGTTTTTTTGAATAATGTAATATTATGTATATTGTAACATTTTTTTAATTAAAAAGGAATAATTTGATGATTAACAATGAAATCTGTAGATATTGTCACTTGTTTATAATATTTACTTTTAGAAAATCAGAATAACAAAATTAAAATATTGAATGCCTCGTTGCAAATTTTTTTATCAAATTATGTTGAGAACATAAATAATGCACTGGATGTCAAGAAAGATATATGGAATAACATTTTGTGTTACTAAAAATGGAAAGCTAAAATATTCTTTTCATGATCAACATGTGCTTCCAATATTTTATTTTTAATCTTTTTCTGACACGTCAACATATAATTATCCTCGTTTCAAGCGTAAAAAGAAGTGCATAAAAACACAGAGATATATGAGTCTATAGATTCATTATGGTAATTAAATTAATAATCTTTGTTTTTCTATTAAAAGGCTAATTCTGTCACGCTTGTCTTGCTTTTCTGTATATACATCCGTTCATTTTAGCTGCATAATTTGCATTTTTAAAAATAATTATAATAAAATAACTATATGTTTCATACGTTATACATATATTGCAAATAAGTGTATTATATAATATAATAATAAGTATAATTATTTAGATATTTTTATGTCGTTAACAATATTGATGGTTGATAATATTTATCTATATATTTCAATGATCGACGATCGATTATTTAATTTGGTATCATCTTGCAAATTTACCCAAGGAGGTAGAGGATTACCGATGCATGATATTCATGAATGCTCCTGCTTGATATGCTCAGTATGATCTATCAATAACGAGTCACAAAGTGAGTTAGTCTCTTTATTTTATGATATGTATTGTGTGAATTTTAAGTAAGAGTTATTAATAGCAAATACGACATTTAACATCAATCCGTGGATACTTTTCATGGTGATATTGGTGACAGATTGGTTGGTGATGTTTGTACCTTCAACCTATTTTTAAGGTTACATTTTAGAATTCTGAATATATTACTGTTCTCTGATTATTCGTTCTAACTTCTTGATATGGTTGTAAATAATTCAGACTTTATCCCAATGTTTTGCCTTGATGATTTTGAATATGCCTTTTTAATTATTTACTTCTGAGTTATAGTGATTGCAATTGTATATAGGTTATGTTTAACACAATCTTTACAAATGTAAACAGTTTCCTTGTAATGTTAAATTCCAATTATATTTAAATTTAATTAATGTTTGTAATTTTTATTTTCTAGTTTTTACTGGTGAAGAACTCAAGACAATGTCGTCTTCATGCATGATATTACGACGCAGTATTGCGACTTCTTGCGTTTGTAATGGAAAGCGGAATTTTCGTAAATTCCTATTATATGGTAAACGTGGCAGTCGCAATTTCAAAGAACAACAAATGAAGAATCCAGATCCTTACATACCAATAGATAGTAAGTTATTAGTTACAATATGTAACATTTTGGAGGTAGATTATCTTGATAAGTCAACATGATCTGATTTTATTTGTATATAAAATATTTCGTATATATAATAAAATAAAGAGAGAAAAGGATTATAAGTGATGTAGAAAAATTGGTTTATAGAAAAATTAGAGATATTGTATAATAAAGTTACTGTATTAATATATTAATAAGTTACTATAAATTACAGAGAGAGGTGTAAGGGATATTGGATACCAGATTGGTGATAAATTTGTTACTGTGCCAGAGATGATTCCTGAATTAATTGTTCCTTCATTAGAAGATTTCAAATTAAAGCCGTACGTATCATATAGAGCGGAAGGGATTACAGAGCCTGAATTCACTGCTCAAGATTTGTTTGATGTAACATATTCTAAAAAGATAAAAGAAGACTTTGCAAATGGTCAGTTGGACGATAATGGGGAGCCGTTAAATCCTAATGAGTATGAAAAACTCACGTCGCAGCAAGCCAAGGAGCAAGCTGGAAAAACGGGCTGTGATCTTTTCTCTGAAAAGAAAAAATTGTAAGTTCTGGTAGGCTTTTTAATTTATAACACTAATGTAAATATAATTTCTTCTGTGGATATATATCATGTCAAAATAAAGAAAACTTCTCATGCTTGAAACACATTAATTTGGATCTCAATCTGTATATGTTTTATTTAGAACTCGCATGTATACATATGTCGACAATTTTGCAATTTACAAAAAGTAACTACTTACTATCGTATATGACTGTTGAAGTGATAGTATGTGCGCACTTTGCTAAGAGCATGAAAAACGAAATTTATTACATTGTATATATGTATAAGCGATCATTTTTCAGATCATTTTGTTTATTGTTTTTTTTCTTTGCGACAAATTGTCTGTAATGGCAGTCAGTGTTTGATAGCAAATAATTACTTCCGCAAAACGGATTATAGTCTTTGTTTTTAAACAGATTACATATTTCTAAAACGATAGCTTACATATAAAACAAGTAATATCACATGTAATTGTCGCAGAATTTTCCGTCGAAGTCGTATAGTTGTTTGTATTTTGATGGATAGGTAAAATCAATTTATTGCTACCAAACTTCGTACTGGATTTCTATTTTACGCAATCCAAAGAGTTATGTGAGTCCAGAAAAGAATTCGCAACAATACCGAAATTGATTTTCAATTCCTGAGATTCATGGATATCTTGCATTCCGTTTGCAGATAGTGGATTTCATTTGCGATTAGGCTAACTTAACAGTTATATCTCACTTATCAAAAGATTTTTGAGCGAAGTTTGATTGTTTTCTGTCGGGTAAAAATGGCGAAAAATTTGAATAGTAAAGTCGTTGTCAGAGTTGTGCGCGGCCGGTATTGCTTGCTACTGACTAGATCACTAGGTTCTAATAATATATGTATATATATGTATATTGTTTTTAAAGTGCTGTATTCATATCAAATGTACAAACGGTTTCGTAATTATTATTGTTTCTCGTCAATGTCTCCTAATTAATTATAATTACGCAAGAAGCTCATAAAACGGAGCTATCGAAATAGAAAATATTCTGTTTAGACGAAACCATATTCAGAGGATATCAGTGAATGATTCATGAAAGATACTTGTATAAAAGTAGTGTGCAGCTGTTAGTACAGTGGCTATAAACGTTTCTAGAAAGAGATAACATATACAAAATGCAGTCAACTTATGCTTACGTAGGAAATGAATCATAGTAAATAATTTATTTAAACATCTTTAAAGAATGCAGCACTTCTGACACATTAGCTACTATTTATCGCTAATATTATTGTTTTTCGTTATTATTTTCTCTATATTCTATGGTCACCATTGTGAAGAGTGGAAGAGGAAAACGTCTTTAATTTTGTACAATGGAACGTTCATTGAAAAAACATGACAAAAAAGTTCTTTTTGACCCGTGTCGTATTTCCACTCTTCAATTAAATTAATGGAAAAGCGATAATGGCATAGTACTTGGTGCTCCGCTATTAAAAGAACTTTAATCCTATTTCAGTCGCTGTTATTCTTTATCGTCAATATTTCGTTTTTTTTTTTTTCTTATGTCTTATTCTATAACGTACTTATAATATCTTGTCAACAACTTGAGCATTCGCATTTCTCTCACTCATTGGCAGTACAGAATTATATCCTCTAAGGATTTATATCGCGTAAATTCGTAATATATTCTGTTATTCGTTTTATACATATGAGCGGTTATAGAAATGAACGAGCTCAAAGCCATCTAAGTCTATCTGAATCCGTCAATTAAAAACTCCACAGTTAACAATACTTAAAAAACCCACAGTTCTCTATCTCTCTCCTTCTTTTTCGTCATACTCTCAATAGCGGAGTTTATAAAGCAAGTCATATGCCACTTGCTTTTCAATTAAACTTGATTGGTGTTTTAGTTTGTTAATTATCAGTCTATGATATAATTGGATATTTGACTGGTAGAATCAGTCATTTTAATAAGGCAGGTATACGTGTTACTGTATGATAAAGATTCTTCTGCATGAGAACTTTATTGGGGACACATACATATGTATCCTATGTATACTCATGCAGATGTACAACATTGATAAGTATATTTTTGTGAAATGGAGTATAGTAGTGAATGATTTGTATAGAATGTTGTACGCAATTTTTAGCACGTTAATCAAATCTTTGAGTATCAATTTCGAGTATCAATGTGACAGACGAATAGAAGTACAAATTTGTAAATCTTTGGCATTCAGTAACATGTACCATACATCTAATCGCAGATCTTGAGTATGTAAAGATATATAATTATTATAGATGAGACGTTATTAAATTCTTCGTATACCTTAGCGTTTCTCTATCAAATGCAAAATGATATGCAACTATGTTAATAAAAGTCAACATGGAAAGACTAGAGAGGGAACACTGCTGAAATTTGATATAATAATTCAGCTGACTTTTCATACGCAAGATCTCGAGGCAATTACTAATAACGACAGGGCAGAAATTTATTCCATTGGATCCCCTACATTCTCGAAGATCGTTGAATGTGGATTGCTGGTGGCGGGCCACAAGAAACCACCTACACTGCCAGGTGGTAAGTAAGACGCACCTCCACTAAGACCCACCTAATATTTCATATTGTATCAATTATTTAACATCTAGCATGAATAATTAATTTTTTTTTTATACTTTTGTATCTATATGCATATATTTTTAGAGAAAATATGTGCCAAGCAAAATGATATAGAAGCATTGTGGGATATAGACACTTCATTTTTATAATGAAATATTTTATATGGTTATTATATATGTGTGTATATAAAAAATATGCACGATTGCTTAATTATATTGTGATGTGAAAATGTATAAAGATATAAAAGTTTGAATGTTTATTTTATTAAGATAATACTGTAAAAATATTTATCACATTATATATACAAGTTGAATCACTGTAATTTTTTCACATTGAATCTTTTTTATTTGAAGTGCGTGTAAGTTTGAATTGCTAACAAGATGGTAATCTTATATCAAGGATGGTACATGCAGTAAGGCAAATTAGAATAAAAGATAACTGCCAAATTAAAGAAAAATAATCATTTATTTGCATTTAACATAAATAATTGTGCTAATAAATCGCAGGTACTAAATAACATCGTAGGTACTAAATAACATTATGTACATTAACTCACTATTGCAAATGTGGAAAGTATTTACAATAATGCCGAGACACTCTCAATAAAAAAAAAATTATCTTCTATATAGAATGAACTATGTACAAGGGTTTTCCAGTTTCATTTTCTACAGTGTCATTTTCTACGGTGTCGATTAATTTACTTCCTTCAAATAGAGAGTGTCAAAATCACAGTCCAATTGTAAAAAGCGCTCCAATAGCTGTGTATATCGCCTCATTTGCCCGATCTATCTATTTTTACTTCAGTAACTTTTTTTTATGAATTTACCTGCTGGCTCCATATTAGCGACCTCTCCGCCAACTGGCAATCCGCTGCCAAGCGGGACGGTAGACTCTTCCACCTCTCCTCGTCTCGCTTTCTATCTCTGTCGAAGTCTCTGTCGACGTGTCCCTGAGAGAGAGGCGGTAAAATCTGTGTACGTTGTGCCAGCTTGTAGCTGTCTTGCCTCGGTACGTGATCAGCACGTCTACTGGTGCTGCCGGCGGTGGAAACTGGGATTGGGGTCGGACTACCGCCGCCCCTATGCCGGTGATATAAATTACGCTTTTGCTGCAGCATACGTTGCTGCACTAGAAGTTGCAGCTGTGTGCCCGAATCGCCGCGTATCTTAAATTGCTGTTGATTATCGGGCGGTGTGGACGGTGGTCTAAGATGGACTAGATCCAGATGGCCTCGAGCTTTCCCAGAATCTGAAAACGATTAAATCGTTGCATTATCGTAAATCGCAAAGTTACGAACGTTGCTGAACAAACAAATAGATGTGACGCACCTTGAATACTTCTCTGCTTAGATGGTCTATCGCTGACACCTTGCTGACAGAACAGTAATCTAGGTCCACCATCGGACGCTCTTCGTCCCTGAGAGACTCGGGATATTCGACCAGTGATAGGGGATGGACTCTTGGGTGGCGGTGGCGTGCAAGATGGTAAACTGCTCGTGAAACAATTCGTCCCTGTATAATCTGGCGGGCAGCCAGAATCGAAGCTAGACTCGAAGAGTTCCGATGACGAGCTACCGCTGCCGCCCGCCATAAACAAAGTCGTTCGACTGGGTGGATCAATAGGATCCATAAGCGGGTTATCAAAATGATGTTGATAATCACTTAATCTTCGATTGACTATCTGACTGTCAATTCGTTGACTGATATCGTGATCTAGGCCTAATCTATGCTCTTCAAGTTTGATCTGCGCTTCGCGCAACTCGTCTCCGCTTGGGCCTTCTTCTAAATCACCTTCGGCGCTGCAACAACCTTCATCGGTCGAAGAACTCGTCGAGCTGAATCTTTTTCCCCCTCTGTTGCTATCTTCTCTTCCTCTGAAACAAGAAAAAGATTTGTGTGCCATTAACATTTGAAATAAATGTTTATTTTGCCATTATAGTTTTTTTTTGCGGTAACTGCGAACAGATGCTTTATGTAGCAATGGATTCAAAAAGTATTAATCAAGTATTCTCATCATTTCATCTTTTAGCATTAGTCTGCTGTTAAATTGTAGAAAGTACCATTACATCATAAATTAATCTTGTGCCCTTCTCGTGAGTTTCATATTGATATGTTATTTGTTTAATTATTTATTATTAGTAACATAAAATTATTATAGAATATAAAATACATTTGCAGAATAGTAGATTTTGTCAATCAAATATGATTAATGTGAAAAACATGAAACAAATGATATAAACATTTAAAAAATAATGTTTAAATAATGTGTTTTTACTCAAAATAAACAAACTGAAATAAAATCAACTAAAATTATAATTAAAAATCAGGATTAGGAGGGTAAAGAAAGAAATAAGAAAATGAAATGAGGAGTTACCAAAAATAAAGCGACAGCAATGTGCTTCCAATCCAACCTGTCCTGATAAAATCTTCAATATGTGCGTCAC